TCCCCCGCCCGCCGGGCAGCCCTGGCAGCTCCGCGCAAAGTTCCGCCGGTGGGAAGAGCCCCCGCAGCCGAAGTTAAGGTGGTTTGCTAACTTCTTCCCCTGCAGCTCACGCGCGCGCTTACGCCCTCGCCCCATCCCCAAACTTCTGGAGTTACTGCGGAAGCGTTTCCCGTGAATAAATCCCCCCCGAGTTTCGGGGCTTGCTCCTTTCTCCAAGGAAGCCCGCTGGATTTTCCCTGGGAGCAGGATCAGGCCCAGGAAGCTGTACTTCCAGGGCAGCAGCGGAGCAGGCTCAAAGTTACCTTGGAGATGGGAAGCTTTTAGCGAAGGAGTCATTTCTCCTTTAAACGCTCAAAGCGCTCGGGTTTTCCCGATGTCCTGGAAAGAACAATTAAGGTAGCGGTTTATTTCCCCCGCTCCTTTATTTCATTATTAGTTTCATAATCTCCAATAAAACAGCGTGAAGTGCTACACCCTTTCCCAGCAGAGCGGGTCACAGTTAACGTGTCCAGAGTGACGCCCTTTATCCCGCCCGAGCCCAACGCGTACCCTCGGGACGTGCAGCGTTCTCGCAGGGGGCCAGGGGGACGCGCGGGGCCCACGGGACCCCCCGGGCCCACGCCGTCCCCGCGGGCGGGCACCGGCACCTCCGCTCACGGCCCTGCGGGCCTCGGGGCCCTCGCATCCCCCCCGCCCTGCCGCGTCCTCAGCCGTGGGAACCCACGGGGGAGACGTTGCCTGCGCCCGCCGAGTTCTTGAGACAGTCGCTGCCTCCCTCAGCCCCTTTTCCCTGCTGGAGCCCAGACTCCAGAGCAGGAAAGTGTGCGAAACTGCAACTGAGTGGCGTTGTTGCGCCGGCAGCGGAGGTTGTGTCCCCTGCACGCAGAGTGGGAGCGGAGCTGGGGAAGCAGCTGGAAAATGCCCAGAAATACTTTCACAGCGGTCAAGCCCGAAGATCCCTGACTCCCCTCCTTCCCTTCCCCGCCCCCGCCCCCCCAGCCCCATGGCCTGGCACCCCGCGTAGCCCGGCCCGCGGGCGCGGGGTGTGTGTGCGAGTGTACGAGGGGAGTACGTGTGTGTGTGTGTGTGTGTGCGTGTGCGTGTGTGTGTGCCGCACCTGCCGGGCGATGCCAGCGG